TTTTCAGTTCCTATCTGTACCAGTGTACATCCTCTGGTCTAGCCAGACTTGCAAGGTCGAATTCGAGTCATGGTAGTGGGAGCGGGGAGGAAACGAAATGTTTAAGTCATTTGCTGATGTCTGCTCTGGTGGGTTACACTAGCGAATTGAATCAGCAAATCTGTTTTCAGCTCAAGCGATTGTCTGAGATAAGCATTCTTCTAAATATTCCTAAAGTACAATAACATTTTTTTAGATGTTCCTGAGTCTTCAAAATACCTTAACATTCTGGTTTAGTAATGAGATATGCCGTAGTATTTTCATATTACAAAACATTATTAAAAAGTGTCCCTCATTACATTTCTGAGGAGTAAAGATGTATTAGAGAAGAGTGCATACATTGAAAAAGTATTTCTTAGTTTCTTGACAAATAAGTGCTGCTTTTTCTTTTATTTGGTGAATTTATAGAAAGGCTTTGAGTTTACAAGGCTTTGAGGTCTTACAAGGTCTAACATGATTAGGTGGAAAAAGCCGTGTTCTGGGTTTTAGTCTTCCCACTGCCTGCTAGCTCCATCCATTACTTGGGGAAATGTACGTAACCTTCCTGATCCTTAGGCTCTGGACCTAGACATTAGGGTTAGATACCTAGTTTACGTACTTCACAGGGTTATTGCTGTGATCAAATAAGGTAAGTCGTGAAAAAGCATTTGTTAATCAGTAAAGTGCTATATAAATTTGAGATTTGCTGCCCATTTTCTGTAAGCTTGCAATCTAGTTAGAGAGACATACAGATCATTATGTTGTGTTAACTTTTGAGCCTAAGACTTGATCTGAGATTGTGATCTCGGGGTGTCAGCCTTTCCTTTTTGTTCACAGATGATGTGGACGTGCACTCATCTGAAGATAGCCGTGGCTCATCATCCAGATTTGGCTCCGATACAGGAAAGCCTTTCTCAACCCCCCGCTGCCGTTCATTCAAGCCCTTAAATATGAATTGGTAAAGCAGCCTTGAATTCTTTCTGTTGTCCCTTAATATCTCAAGACAAAAAACAAAACTGAGCAAGGAAAAAGGGGCACATTGTCTATATGTGTACGCTTTTCCCTAAAAGAAGTAAAAGAATATAGTAAGAGTTTGTTAGGCACACATGTTTAATTTAGTATCTAATGTGTGTTGAGGGGCCTTAAAGAGAGGTTCATGGAAAAGCATAATGAAAAGATGATGGAATTTTTCGTGAACTCTTTGAAACCTTCTCATAATTTATGCAGTTGAGAGATTGAGGAAGAGGGTCTATGGAGATGGTAAGTACAGGAGAACAACTGTTAGACAGTCCTGTGCTGCAAGCGGTTGGCATTTCTGTCTAGGAAATGATACTTTTGGTAAAATCAATATAAAAACAGTGGAAGCTAAGAAGAGGTGAAATCTAAATTGAATTTCATAAAGTGTCAGATATGCCAGAAACAATAGATCAGTCTATAAGATGAGCATTAGGACTACTCCATAGAATCATCAACGACTTGATATCAAAAGGGCGAGGAAGCTCAGATGACAGGAAGCGCTAGGAAAGGTGAGGGATGGAAATGCAAAGCACAGGGTGGGTGTGGGGTGAGTAATGTGATATGGTGGGGAATGCAATCAATGACACGAAACAAATTTTGTATGAATCATGTAATGGAAAATGGATTTGCTGTGTAAACCTTCACCCAATTCATGATAAAACGTTTTTCAAAAATGCGACAGGAAGAAAATGCTGTGGGAAATAAGGCCGAGCCATCTCCACAGAACCTCTTCTGTTTATCAACTGCCTAAAATACGAGACTGCTTCAGAAAGTTCATGGATATATTCCATTTATATATATGATTTTATATATCTATCTATATGTTTCTTTTTTCCCAAAACATTTACTTCTGTCACATTTGAAATGTATATATACATATGGGCATCTCATATATATCTATACATATAAACACACATATATATCCAAACAAAATGAAATACCTAGAGTAATTCAGAAGGAAAATATATTATCATGCCTAAAATACCTGTAAGGAGCTCTGATAGCACCGTGGTTGAATCCACCATCCAATAGATAGGGGAAAGGTGGGTAAAGATTTTAACCTTGGCAATCCCAGGGGTCAGTTCTACTCTGTCCTATAGGGTTGCTACAAGTCAGATTGACCTGCTGGCAATAGGCAAAGTACCGGTATTTGATATTTTGGAGCTTGAATTTTTTCATAATTGCTTCATTCTCTACTTAAATGAATTAATTCATGTAAAGCACTTAGACCAGTGCTGGGCATATATAAAGTATTCAAATGTTATTTATAAGAATTATAAATAATTATCATTATAAATATATAATATTTATATTTTATTTAATATAAAATTATAATTATAAGTTTATAATTATATTATAAATAACATTTATAATATAATGTTATAAATAACATTTATAATTGCTATTACTATTTTATTTGAGAATCACAAAATCTAGTTTAATCTGGAGTCAAGATTTATACATGAGGTAGGTAAATGTATTTAGGTGCCATTTTTGACTCAGAAGCCCTTGTGACAATAGAATTGTCCGCTGTGGTTTTTTTGACTGTAATCTTTATCAGACCTGATCACCAGGTCTTTTTCTAGAGCAACTCGGTGGATTTGAACCAACAGCTTTTCTGTTAGCCACCAAACATGTAACTGTTTGCACCAACAGGGGGCTCCTTAGATTGAATGTGGGGGAAGGAAAGTGAAAATCACTTTTAGTAATTGTAAATTTATGGTTCTTATTTTCTTATATTTACGTAACGTTTTAGAATCTTTTGCTATATTAAGTAATTGAGAGACAATTTCAAGTTAATATGAAGGCTATGGTCTGTAAGGGTTTTTATATCAGTGGAAAGTTCCACAATTCGTAGTTAAAAATAATTTAATCTAGAACTGTTCTGTCTACTTGCCATAGGTGAAATGAGGCCACTGAATACTAGAAGCTAGCCTGAATAGTGATGTGTTACAAGTGTAAAATATACCCTTCGAGGACCTACATGGATAGAAGGATATGCACTATTCTAATAACTGCTAATCTTGATAACTGGGTGAAATGGTAACCTTTTGGATATACTGAGCTGTTGCAAGGTGTCATTGAATCATTCCGTTTATTACTAAAATAACATCTGTTTCTTTTAATGATTTTAATCTGGCTATTAGAAAATGTTAAATCACATGTGATTTCCATTGGATTTCCTTGGCCCCCACTGCTGTAGACATTTCAGTTGTGAGATCATCTCTGTGGAGAAACATCCTAGGATTATGCGTTGCCCTCTACTGGTTAGTTTACCTCTTAGCTGTTTAAATTCTGTGGGATTCAGTTTCTGTAGAAAAGACAAGAGGTGCTTGTAGTGGCCCTCAGGATCACTGCTGCCTGACTTTTAGGATGTGTAGTTCACTAATCTTTTATCTTCCTGTCAGTATTTAAAAGGCAGTTTGTCTTCTTCAAATGCTGTAGAAAACATGCAGATTGCTGTGATGGAATCTTTTTTTAAAGCCTAGATGATGAACTGGATTCTTTTCATGAGTTGAAGCAACGGGAAGCAGAAGAGTTATTTGAGAGTAAACATAGAGTTAATGCCTCCAAAATATCCAACCAGTCCTTTAAGGAAATAGATAAAGGTAAAAGAAGCGTTTATTTCTGAAGAATCATTGGAAATACTAACTTTGTCAAGTAAAGGGCATGAAATGTTTTCCATAATAATGAGTCTGGTTCTGAGGAACTTGTGTATTTCTGTTTTTTGTTAACCAAAGGGTTGTTTGTTTGCCTGGGATTGGGTAGATGGGAATCTCCAATAGCAAGCAGAGCCTGAATATGTCTTTCACTTTAAGGACTAGCGCTCAGATACAGAATATAGTCCAGGGTCTCACCAGATGGGAAGTATAACAAAGAGACTTCTTCCCTAAAGACAGTCTTCCAGGAGGTCAATGCAAATTAAAACCATTGCGAGATAGCCTTTCATCCTCGTGGTATTAGCAGAAAACAAGTTGTGACAGTAGAGTGTTCATAAGGATATGAATCAACAGGAATTCTCATTCACTGCTGTTGGAGCTGTAAATATGGATTATTAAAAATTATTTAAAGGAGAAGTTTATAAACCTAAAAAATTATTGATTACATAATTTTATAGAATATAGAGGTAAAATGAAACTAGACAACATTTACAGATACGCATGTAAGTGGTAAAACTAAAATGAGCAATAGTCAGCAGTGAACCACTGTATTCTACTAGAGATTAATTTGCTTAGAAGAGAGGGAATGTTATTAAGAATTTCTGAGGTAAGGTAATATTCTACTTCGCAGCCTATTTAGCTCCTACATGAATGATTTCATGTAATTTATCTTGAAATAATTTTAGACTTAAAAGTTGCAAAAAGGGAACAGTGAATTCCTTTATGGATTCTCCCAGATTTTCTGTGTCAATATTTAGCTACATTTGCTTTATCATTTTTCTCTCTATATATAATACTTTAAGCTTTTTAGCAATATGGCAGTGCATGTTTAAAACATTAAGAATTTTAAAACTGTAAGTCAGTAAACTTTCCACTTATAATTTTGTTATCAGTTGCCCAACCAAATAATGTGACCTTAAATTCAAGAAGCCGGAATGAATTCTGTAGTGACACAAATGAATCTCCTTTGAACTGTGTCAAATATCCAACATCTAAAGCAAAAAACAAGCAGAGTATACTGCCACAGCATGTCAATCAGATATATGATGAATTATTACAGATACATCAGAAGCTGCAGGTAAAGCCTAAATATTGAATTGGGATTTCAAAAGTCTGTGTTTCAATAGCCAGCATTTATAAAATTTGATTATAAAGTATTTCATTTTTTATTATTTTATATATGTGAGTCAAGGCAAAGTCAGGAGAGAGCCAACTTATTGTATGGGGGCTACTGAAGGGTGAAATGTAGTGGCTGAGAGAAAAATACAAAAAAGTGATGTTTTCACGTACAGTGTATAGTTTTGATTTCAGGATGTCTTGTATTTTCTGTTTATTACTATCCCATCCTCGCATAAGAGGTTAAAAAAATGCTAGTGAAGGTAGGCTTCTAGATTCATTATTTTAAGTGACTATATGTAAGAAATTCCCTTGTCAGTTCTTAGCAACATTCAACTCTGAACATTGGCCTTTTCTGTCATTGGGATCCCCCCCCCACCCCCACCCCCGCCTCCCCCAGTGGGTTCTTGTACTTACCAAGCCCCCACTAGGTGGGAGTATAAACTAAAACTCACTGCTATTGTTCAGCCAGTTGAGACGCACAGTTCCAAATAGGCAGAGTGGACCTGCTCTTCAGGGTTTCAGGTCGTGTAAGTCTTTATTGGAATAGACAGCCTTCTGTTTCTCCCTCAGAGCGACTGGTGGGTTAGATCCTACTGACCTTGCGGTTAGCAGTGCGACATTGATCGTGTTTGCAACCAGGGCTAGTCTGTGTAATTCCCATTTTATGTAGGACATTCTCCTCGCTGGAGGCACATACACATGAAATAGCTAAATATATGTTTCAACCTGTGCTTCACATTGTCAAAGTAATAATTTAGATTTCACTGTAACATTTCAGACAGATACTACTTTGACCTCCTCCTTTTTGCTAACCAGAAGATTGGCGCTTCAAGCCCCCCCAGAGGCCCCTCAGGGGAAAGCACTGGAGCTCTACCTCTGATAAAATCAGCCAGTGCAAAGTCCTGTGGCGCACGGTTCTACTGTGACGCATATGGGGTTGTCTTGGGTTGACATCGGTGCCTTTTTTCAGAGGAAGCAGTACTTGCAAAAGGGTCTGAGAAGCCATGACCAGAGAGGAAGGTGGAAAACTGAGAAAATAGTGTCCTGGAAGCCAGTGCTTTGTCAGAACAGGACAATTGTATAAAATGCTGCTGACAGACTCAGTAAAATAAGGGCTGAAAAGCAACTTTAGCCATTTCAGTGATAGCAGCTGCACCTGGCTTAGGAGTTTTGTCATGTCATTAGCGTGATGAGGGCTGATGCCCGATCAGCATGAGCTGAGGGTGACTGGGAAGTGGGGAGAGGGCACAGCAAGTGTAGGCAGTGTTGAAAGAAGTTCAGTTGTAAAGGGAAGGGCATAAGTAAGTAGAGTCCAGAATTTCACTTAAGATGGGATCAGAGAAACGGAGCGTTAGAGGACTGGTCCACTAAGCAGTGTCCATAGGAGACAAAGGTAAGAAGCCTGACCCACGTTTGGGAAGAGAGGCAAGGAGGAATGTGTCTTATCTTGTGGAGAGAAGGTCTGTGTTTCCTTCTGCTGTCTTGTTTTCTTTTAGGAAGTTAGAGCCTCAGTTATCCCCAGAGGATGGTGTAGGAAGTGATGTTTTCAAAATGAGTAGAGAGCAGAGAAGATGAGAAGCCGACTAGAGAATGTGGGGGAGAGAGGCCTGACCATGAAGCTGTAGAAGGCTTTCTGGACTGCATTGAGGGCTCCCTGGGGCTGGAGACCAGGGGTTTCCAGTCAGGCTTCTTTCTCCTCACGGCGTCATTTTCTCTAGTGGGGTGTACCAGGGAGGGTGGGGTCAGTGCTTGCTCCAGGACTGTGAGGCTTTTCCAAGCCTAGGTAATGGAGGAACAGTTTATTGAGTGGAGCATGCTGACAATAATAGTGGACACGACGTTGAAACGGAGCATATAGTGGAGCGTGCATTTTGATTTGGCCAGAGAATTCTGTAGGGTACTGTTGCATTTTTGAGCCTGGACTCTCAAATGAACATGGTGAAATGTCACCACATAACAGCTAGGTAGACTTCCTGTGCAAGTTCACGTGTGCACTAGTCTGGCTCTTACTGTGATCCACATTTACTTAGGTGCTCATATGTTCTGACTACCAGTGAATAAGCCTTAATCGTTGTCACAAAGAATGTAATTTGCAGCATTTGTGAATGTATTGTTTTAAAACATATAAATCTGCTCTTTTGATAGTATGAAACTGCAGTGCAACAGGAATTTGCTGAAGAACTTAAAAAACGAGAACAATTTTTAGCTGAACGGGAACAACTGCTTCTGAGACATGAAATTGCCTTGAGTAAAATTAAAGGTGTTGAGGAAGAGGTTCACACAAGGTTTCAAATTATAAAGGAGGTAACTAGCACTGGGTTGTTCCTTTTAGATTTCCTAGTTGTTAACATTTACTGTCAGTTTTTACTGTAGTCTCCCTCCATTTATTTTCCTGAATCATTTGAAAGTAGATTGCACATTGTTATGCATCGCATAAGCATAGGAAAACATTCTCCAATCACAATTACTATGTCAATAAGTAACACCATTGTTATAGCAAGAAATTAATGTTAATTAACTAATGTAATGAATTATGTAGTCCACATTCCCTTTCCTAATTGGTTCAGTATATGTCTTATTTTGGGTTTTGTTTTATTTTCTAATGTAGGCGCTAGTTAAGAGTTAAACAACCAGAAAAAAAAAGTTATACATTATATTTGGTTGATCATGTTTATATGAGCATATATATATATTTTTGTTGTTGTTGTTACAATTGCTTCTCCCCTCCTCTTGACTCATACGTAGAGTCTTTGTTACGTGTCTCTGAGGTTTTGTTCTCTTTTCTCCCCACCTTTGTCTTCTCTTTCCTTCAATTGAATAATTTCTGTTGGTCCATCTGTAAGTTTGCTTTTCCTTCTTTTGTTTTCATGTGAGTATGGATCCCATCTAGTGAATTTTTGGCTTTGATGTCTCTAAGTTCTAAAGTTAAATTTTCAGTTATGTATGTAAAAACTTTTTGGGGAAAAAAACTTTTATGAGAATTTCTGGGTTTACACTTATTTACATTTACCTTATGGTGTACAGTTAAAATAACTAAAAACCCACGGCCATCGAGTAAGCTTTGATTAGAACTGCGCCCTGGGGTCCCTGAGACTGCAGATCTTTAGGGGAGCGGAGCCTCATCTCTCTCCCGTGACACTCGCTCCACAGCAACAGCAGGGCCTCTTCTTCTCGACAGAGGTTTTGAATTTCTTTATCTGATCGTTCCAGCACCTTTGTAATTGGGGGATTGGTGTCGGAATCACAACTGACATGATGACAGTGGGCCGATTTTTGGTTTGATCTATCAGTTGCCTTTTTTCCCTAGCATTCAGTAACATGTTCCTGGTGCTTTTTATGTCCAGACATTGTGGATTGTAATTTAGACTTTGAATATTTTGTAGCATTTTTAATGGATTTTGTTATCATCCTCTGGAAAATATTTGTATTTACTTATAATTTAAAGCCGTGAGGTCACTTAGGTTTAAACCAAAAGTTATTTCTCACCATCTTTGGGCAAGGGATTCCTATAGTTTTTTTTTCTTTTTTTGTGGGGGGACACAGGCTGGGGGACTACCCAGCCTCTCATTTGTTTTATTTAACTTATTTCAGTGCTTTATAATAAAGGAAACACTAACAAAGCCATGTCTATGCTGAGTCAGCACTGGCACGCCCAGCTCAGCCTTCCCCTTAGCACAGCAGGCCCTGCTGTGATGGGGCAGTGAGGGAAGCAGAGGTAGGCAGTAACCAGGTTGTGTTTAATGATGGGGAAATGGGCCAGGCCATACACAGACCTCTGCCCATCCCCTTTGCTCATGGCCTTGAGAAGCCAGAAGCAGCCAGGGGAGAGCAGTGGTTGCACCCCAAGGCAGGTAGCCATGGTCCCTCTGACGGTGTGCAAAATACTAAATGCTAATTTGGCATTGAGGCCAGCCTGGGAAAGAGAAAGGGATAATGCTTTGTGCAGCCAGCCCAGGGGGAAGGTGGGTTAGGAAGCCCCTACCCCTGGTGAGAGAAAGGTAAGAAAGAGACCCCCAGCATGGAGGGACACAGGCACAGGGCCAGCTTCTGTCTAGCCTCTGGGGTGGAGGGCAGACAGTCACAGGGCCAGTTTCTGTCTAGCCTCTGGAGTGGAGGGGAGACATCCACAGGGCCAGTTTCTGTCTAGCCTCTGGGGTGGAGGACAGTGGAGATTACAGATCCTCATCCCCAATGCCCTCGAAGGCGAAGTTGCCGCGGATGTCACTGGCACTGGCATCTGTGCTGGCACTGCCAATTCCCCGCAAGTTCACAGCACTCAGCTTGCTTGAGAGTTGACCATGGACTCGACTGGCATCAGGTGACTCAAGCAGTGGGGGGGTGGGGGGGCTTTACTGCTTGCTGACTCTCTGAACGCCCCAACCGCCAGCGCCGCATCTTCCTGATGCTGCCACCAGATTTCTTCCCCATCAGTTCATCTACCATGGACTGTAAGCAAATGCTCATCATGATAGCCTGGGGGCTGGTGATGGTGACCCACTGTAGTCAGTCCTTGCTCATGAGGTATTGGAAAGCTAGTTCCAGGCGCACCTCGCCCCGTCCCTTGCCAGGGCTGCTCGTGCCCCCGCTGGGCAGAGGCACAGACCAGGTAACCCGCCAGCACCGCATTCGGGTGACCCGGAAGGAGCCTTCACGGAGTTGCTGGCCAGGTAAGCGGAGCTGGAGGCTGAGCTCACTGTTGCCAGCTCTCACCACCACAGGACAGTCCTTTTCTGGGAAGTCAGCCACACAGGCATCAAAGCGCAGGTAGCCATAGTGCCGCAGCGTCTGGGCCAACCTCAGGAACTCCTTCTTGGAGACCTTTTCTTGCAGAGACTTGAGCTGCCGGTGCTGCTCCTTGGTGACCAGGATCCACCCACGCTCAATATCTGATACTGTCTTGAGCATAAAGCAGGTTCAGGCCAACCCGGTTCTCCATGACATCATCATCATAGGCAGAGTCCCAATAACTTTTCCTGAGCACAATCTTATGCTCTTGACTCCGTAGACTAGTAACAGACACATAAGGCAGCTCAAACTCTTGCAACTTCCGCACAAAAGAAAAGGCGCCATCCTCTTTTTCTCGAAATAGAAAGAGACTAAAGTATCCAATCAAGTCATCTGGAAGATCCAGCTTTGCAGCCACAGCTTTGATCTGAAGTCAGCACATTGACCAGAACTTTTTGTCCATTGCTGAGCAACACTTCCAAGGAGACCTCTTCTGTGGGGACTTGCTGTGTCTCCTGTTGTGCTCGACGTAGGAAACCATTGAAGGTCTCACTGCTCCCAAGCAATGGGTCTTGCCGAACTACTTGCATGTACTTCTCTAACTGCTCCCTCCTCTGTTCTACCTCAGCAGGTGTCAGAGAGAAAAGTTTCTTAGGGGGGAATGCAGGAAGCACATTGGCCCCATTCTCCTTGCGGAGCTGCTCGTGCAGACCCAGGAGCTGGCTGTAGCGCACCCGGCAGTGCAGGACTCCGTTCACGGGAATGTTGTAGGCCACGTAGGGGGAGCCACCGCTGTCCCCGGGATGGAAAAGTGCATGTTCCTGGCGGCAGGCCCCCCAGGCTCTAGTCTGTGAGGGCCGCGGAGCCTCTGCGCGGCTGAACTCCGCAGCTCAGCGCATCCTCCCAGCTTCACTCGCCATTTTGGGGGGATTCCTCTAGTTCTCATCAGTCCAGTAGGCTTGGTCTTTTTTACAAATTTGAGTTTTGCTTGACGTTTTCCTCTTATTTTAACCAGGAGCATTTATTTTATTTCTCGCCAGGATGGTTTGTAGTTTATAACTTATATGTAATTTAAGTCACCTTATTATATACTGACAGGGCTCTTGTGGAGTGGTTATGCATTGAGCTGTGTTGGGCACCACTTATTTCTTCTTGTTGGGTGTGTATTTAGGTGCATAAAAATTAGGACAACTGAATATTTAAACTACTTTTATGAGTAACTTCATCTTTGACTGCATGTAAAATTATGCTCTTGCTATTGCATAGCAAGAGAATTCCATAACCCCCCCCATTATTGATTTTTTTGACAGAATTAAAGACAATGATTAGAATTCCATATTTCTTCATCCTGTTCTTCAGCTTGATTTCTCTTGGATTTGTGTGTTACTATTCCTATTAAGTAGAAAGATCACTGTGTTGTTTTAGTGGTATTTATGTGAGTTTTTTAGGAAGTAGAAAATAACTATTTTCTTGGTTTCCTATAGAAACTTGCTGATTTCAATATATTATGAATAAACAGTAAAAGGTGCAAGAAACTATAAGTATTCACATTTTAATTCTGAAATCCCATTTAAATGTAATTGGAAGAGAAATTTATTTGATTCGTTTTATGAACCCTTTTAAGAAAAGTTAAATAGTTGGGGGATAAGAGAAATTTTAGTATGTAAGTAAAATTATTTTGAGATATAAAACTGACATACATTTTATAGCCATTTATAAAACTAAGAAATTAGTTTGCTCTCTTTAAAATTTCTTTCAACTTTCTCAAGGGTAATTTGCACCTTGAATTTTAATTTCGGACACATCCTTCATTGAGCATTCTATGATGTCCAATAGAAAACTTTTCAGTGCTTTTCTATGGGTGGATTTTTCCTGAGTAAAAACAGAAAATAGACTCATTGCTTTTTAATTTGTGTGATAAATATATTTTAATAGGTATTTTATAAGTAGTTTTAATATTATTATTATTATGTGGTTTACGAGCAATTTGTATAAATGATTTTTAATTTCAGTCACCTTGTGATACACTGAAAGAGCCCTGGTGGTGGAGTGTTTACGCATTGAGGCTGTGACCCACTAGATCCCCGATTCAAAATCACCAGCTGCTACATGGGGGGTGGGATAAGATGCAGCTTTCTACTCCCGCAAAGAGTTGTAGTTTTGGAAACTCCCAGGGGGCAGTTCTACCCTGTCCTAAAATGCCATTATGAGTTGGCATTGGCTTGATGGCAATGAGTTTGGTTTTAGTTTTTGGATTATACACTGACTTGTCCTCTGAATGTAGTGTATTGAATTATATATACTCTGATTAAAGCTCGTGGGAGTTAAGGAATTCTAATTTTTAATTAGGTTATGTTTAATAGCATTAGTAGAGTGAAACCCTTACCTAATTTTCAGATTAAACTTTATTTCTCTACCCAGCAACATGAAGCAGAAGTTGAACACTTAACTGAAGTTCTCAAGGAAAAGATTAAGGAAAGCAAGAGGCTGAAATCATCTTTTGATGCATTGAAAGAATTGAATGATAGCTTAAAAAAACAGGTAACATTTTAATATATCTTAATATGTAAAACACTTTTGGAACAGTTTATAGTTAACAAAGTATAAGTTAAGGCTGATCAAATGTGTTGAAGAAAGCTGATGGTGCTTGGCTATTACAAGATAAAGTGCCCTGGGTGTTAAAGTTGAAGTTAAACAAGCGGTCATCTAACAGGAAGCAACAAAGCCCACGTGGAAGAAGCACACCAACCCTTGTGATCACGAGGTGTCGATGGTATCAAGTATTAGGCATCAGAAGACCCAAAACAAACAACAATTTCGATGTGAACAAGGGGGGACAGAATAGAGACCCAAAGCCATCTGTAGCCAATTGGACATCCCATCACAGAAGGGCCAAAAAGAAGGGACGAGCCAGCCAGGGTGTAGTATAGCACCAATGAAACATAAGAACTTTCTTCTAGTTCTTTAATGCTGCCCCCCCCACCCCTTATCATGACCCCAATTCTACCTTACAAATCTGGCTAGACCAGAGCATGTACACTGGTACAGATAAGAGCTCTCGACACACAGAATCCAGGACAGATAAACCTCTCAGGACCAATGAGAGTAGTGATACCATGAGGGTAGGGGGAGAAAAGGGGAGCCGATTGCAATGATTGATGTACAACCCTCCCTCTCCCCAGGGGGACCAACCACAAATGGGGGTGAAGGGAGACGGCAGACGGTGTAAAATATGAAAATAAAAATAATTTATAAATTATCAAGTGTTCACAAGGGTAGAGGGTGGGGGGGGGGAGGGATAAAAGAGCTGATATCAGGGGCTCAAGTAGAAAGAAAATGTTTTGGAAACATGATGGCAACATAGGGACAAATGTGCTTGAAACAATTGATGTATGATTAGTAAAAAGAGCTGTAAAAGCCCCCAATAACATGGTTTATTTTTAAAAAGAAAACCCTCGCTGACTCATAGTGACCATGCAGCACAGAATGGGACTCCCTGTGTGGGTTTCTCAGGCTGTAAATCTTTATATGAGTAGAAAACCTCATCTTCTTCTCAAGTATGGCTGTTGGGTTCAAACTACTGACCTTGTGGTTTGCAGCGTCACCAGGGCCGTGAGTTGGTTTGGTTTGTGCAGGAGTGCTGGTGGTGCGGCTGGCGACGGACTGAGCTGCTAAGTGAAGGGTTTTCGGTTTGAACCTACCAGCTGTTCCGTGACAGAAGATTAGCCATTGTGCTTCCATAAAGATTGACAGCCTTGGAAATCACTTGGGGCCTTGGGGCGGGGTTCTTACTCTGCCCTGCATGGCTGCTTTGAATCAACTTGATAGCACGCGAGGTTTGGGTAATGACTAATGGGATCCTGTGATATACAGTGATTCAGCTGTTGCCTCTCACCTGCCAGTAGAAAAGAACTGTCCATTTGCATCCCTAGAGATTACCAGTCCCTGGGGCAGAGTTTCTTGCCTGGTGGAGTGGGAGCAGTGAGAAAGAGGAAGCCCCTCCACCAAATGGATAGCACAGTGGCTGCAGCTATGGGCTGAGACACAGAACAGTTGTGAGGATGGCGCAGGGTCGAGCTGTGTTTCGGTCTGTTGCACACTGGGTCGCTGTGAGTCAGAGCGGACTTGAGGGCATCTAACCAACAACGACAACGACAACATCAGCAAGAGATACCTGTTGCTTTCTCGTCAGTTCACACGCGTAGCACCCAGGGAGCAGTTCTGTCCATCCGAGTGGGGTTGACTTGGTGGCAGTGGGTCTGCTTTTGGTGTTAGGGTTCATTAACCAGTCTTTGTTTCCCTTGACTTCTCTACTCGGGGAGACTGACCCTGTTGGCAGTGATAACTGTATACCTGCTTTCCCTGTCCATCTGATGATTTGACTTTCTGGATTTATGCCCTCTCATAACTGTGACCTTCATTTGCTATTTTCTGGAAACCTGCTTTGCCCCTGGAGAAATGGCATTTCCCCTAAGTCTCCACCCAGCCCTCTTGATAAGGGTTTCTTGAATTGCCGGCATATGTTCATGTCCATCTCTCAGGTTTCTTGAAAAAATTTTCATGAGTGTGGTGGTGGGTTGGGATACATAAATTGAGTAGTTGAAGTTTCTCATTATATTCAGAAGTAAAGTGTTTAAAATGGTTCTTTCAATTCATTATTTCATGAATTTTTCGAAATCCCCTTGTTTGTCAGATACCTGAAGTCAATGATAGAGAAAGTCTTTAGCAGGACCTTTGTGCAATGAACCAAAATAAGTTGTATTTCCATCAAGGATTAAATTGAAAATGTTAATTTGTCGAAAGATAATATGTTGGTATGAGTGGCTGTTGACCACTGGGTAGTGGTGACCTTACACCATCGTCCGGTATCACAAAACATTAGCTCCTCGGGAATAAATCTAGAGAGGGGTGTATGAAGTATCTATATAAACTGAAGACTATAAAGAATTGTTAAAGGAAACAGAAATTAATTGAAGGAACCCTGTTGGCACTCTGGGGTAAGCATTGGCGTCCTAACAACTAACGCTGAGGTTCCCGCCCACTAGCACTCTGCTCCCGTACAGAGTCACAGGTTTGGAAACAACGCCGCCCTTTAGGGTCACTAAGAATCAGAAATGACTCCCTGGTGGTGGGTTGGGTTGTACACTTGAATTATGTGCTTCATCTGTTTGCTCTGTCGTGCTGCTTAATTATGCAGGCCAGATGAGACAGTGGATTGTTTGAGAAACCTTCAGTATGATTTGCAGATATACATTAAAATATGTACCTTTTCCTCCCGTAGTTAAATGAAGTAAGTGAAGAAAACAGGAAGATGGAGATGCAGGCTAAGAGAGTTCAAGCGCGTTTAGATAATTTACAGGTAAGTTTACTTGCCATTTTATTTCTCAGCCTGTAAATCTTTAATTTTTTTAATTAACTAGATGAGGCCTTACCTTTCAGATAATCATTTCATATTAAACAATTTAAATAATTTATTAAGGCTCCCAGTAGATTGCCCTGTTCTCTCCCCCTTTCCCCCCTTCTCCCTCCTGTAGAAGATGCTCTTCCCCTTACTGGCACTAACACTCCCTTCCCTTCCCTTTCTCCCCCTCTCACAAAGTCTGTTGCTTTTGGCATGAGAGAACTTTTGTCCTGATTTTTTTCTCTTATGACAGTAGACTCATACAATATTTGTCTTCTGGGGTTTGACTAACTTCATTCAGCATGATGTCCTCCAAATCCATGGGTGTCATGAGGTGTTTCATAGTTTTATTTTTAGTGTTTAGCAATACATACTACTCCATTGGGTGTATGTGCCAGAGTTCATTTATTCATTCTTCCACTGATGGCATCAACGTTGATTCCTTCTTCTTGCAGTGATAAAACGGTGCGGTGATTAACATGGGCATGCATATGTCTGTTTATGCTGTCTCTTATTTCTTTTAAGTTGTATACCAAGGAATGGGATTTAAAGTATTGGATCATAAAGTATCAGTATTCCCCATTATTTGCGGAAGCACCCTCCTGCTATCCACAATGGATGTGCCTTTTTACAGGTCCATCAGCAGTGTGCTGGGGTTCTGATCTCTCTGCACCTTCTCTAGCATTAAAAAAAATTTTTTTTATCAGTGCTGGTGTGAGATGGTATGTTGTTATTTTTATGAGTATCTCTTGAATATTTGATTGCCATTTTCTTGAGATTCTAGTGAATTTTAAAATGGTTGCATTTTGGACTTTTTCACTAAAAAGAAATGATCCTTTAATTAATGGATATATTCTTTTGCAGAGGAAGTATGAGTTTATGACAGTACAGAAATTGAAAGGAAGCTCTCATTCTTTTCATGAGATGAAAAGTTTAAAGCAAGAAAAAATAACAGTTTCAAAAACTTCCAAGGTATGGTGTGATTTAAAATTTCTTAGATGGAGAAACAGGAGATTTTTCTCTTGTTCTTTAATCTTTTTTTTTTTTTCATTTAACTATGAGAAGGGTTACCATAACAGTCTGTTATAGAGAAATATCTCTAGAATATTTCAAATATAACTTTATTTGCAAAAGCAGCATATTTAAACAGTACTTCAGGCATATTAACAGTGACAAAAATCACAACTTAAGGGTCGCAACTTGTGTTGTTCAGTATGTTTTGAGGTTTTACAAACTTTGAATGTGATTTTCTTATACCAAATACTACATTCCATACATGAACGGATTTCCTTTTCCTTTTCTCTTAAGAATTTTTTTAAAAGTGAGGTTAAAAAAAAAATCACAAAGTAGAACAAGGCACAGATCCTTAAGTGTGTAGTTTGATTCGTTTTGACAGACTTGGACACTCATGTAACCTACATCCCATCAAGATGGAGAATGCTTTCTATTATGCTAGAAAGTTCCCCTGTGCCCCCTTCCTGGTCATTCTTTCTGCTAGGAGGATTGGTTGACCTGATTTTTATCACTATAAAGTAGATTGTTAATTAAGAATTTTAGAACTTGAGACCAGTCTTTGCAATTGTGTCATGTGTATTGGTTGATGTGAAGTTTCTCTTGGTTGGCATACTGTTGAGAGTATAAAGCACGTGTCCCTTTCTGTTGCTCAGTAATGTTCCATTGTATAACTGTACTATAGGTTGCTTCTCTGTTGTGCTGATAGATACCTGGACTATTTTTGTTTTGTCCATTATGAATAAAGCTGCTAAAAAATCACATACTAGGCTTTTGTGCACTTAACGTTTCCATTCCTCGTGGAATGAAATGCATCCAGGACTAGAATATCTGGGTCATTAGGTAGATGCATATTTAACTTTCTGTCAAACTGCCAAACTATTTTCCAGAGCAGAATCGCACCATTGTGTGCTTCTGCCATCGATGTATGGAAGTCCTGGCCGCTCGACATTGTCAACATTTGGTGCTTTCCGTCTTTTGTGTTTGTTAGAAGAATAATGTGTTAGCTCTACGATTTATCTTTGTGTTTTCAATCAGTTGACTTCTGTTTTTGTGGATTAGTTTTCTTAATGCTGCCTTTGTATTCATTTGATTTCATATTTCTCTCTTCTCAGATTAAAAAAATAAGTAGAAAATACTGCTTGGCTTAAGAAAGAGATGTGATAGAAGTTAAATTAAATTGACCAAATATTTGTTTTGAAGAAATAGTAAAGCAGTCCAATAAAATGTTCACTGATTTTAAGGCATCTCGTTCTTACTCTTTTCTCACAATTTCTGTAAACTCTCAGAGAACAAAATTTCCAGAAAAAAAACAACTGAAGAAATCATAGCCAGTTTCTGGAATGTCACAAGGCAACAAAAATCAAAGTAACAACCTTTCTGAGAAGAAGACAATATGAAGCTCCATAGGTGGAAATTCGTTAGCTTTTGAAACATTTAATTTGTGGAGATCTCTTAGGTATTGGTGTTTTATGTTCCCGAGTTCAGATTTGTACGTTATTACACTCAGATTAAGGACTCAAACGTTTCTTTTCTTTTTGGCATTGAAGTTTATTTTATTTTATTGGGGGCTCATACAACTCTTCACAATCTGTACATCCATTCATTGTGTCAAGCATTTGTTGCCATCGTCACTCTCTAAGCATTTACTTTCTACTTGAGCTCTTGGTATCAGCTCCTCAAAAAATTTATTTTTATATTAAAGTGCAGTTATTTGGCTTCATTGTTATGATGGAGTCTCCTTCCTTTCTCTGAGCCAGAAGTTATCATGTTTTCAGTATTTGTTTGGGATGTATGATTTAGAATTTCTTTGGGTTGTTTGGAAAATGCCTTTTTTAAATGCATGTTTTAAGTGAATACCTAAATTCTCCCACAATCATTGATAAAAATTTTACCTTTGCAGTTTTATGATCTATGCAGGTTACACAATGAAATAAATGTATGATATACTTTTCATTTTATAGGTACCACTTAATACACAAGTTTATGAGCTTTTGACTATGTTCATGGACTGGATTTCAGATCATCACCTTAGTAAACTAAAGAGTGAAGACGTGGGGATGGAGGGAGAAAAGGCGCTGATCAAACATACTTCTCAGAGAAATGATATTCAAGAGAAGTGTGTAAAGGTTTGTTTTTAAATTCAGAAACTATGGCTCAGGGGACATGAGGATTAGGAAAAGCCTAGCATATATTTTACAAGTGAAAAAACATTAGAGTATCTGTGATGGAAAATTTACCATGCCATTAGTTACAGGATTAATTTCAGACTTAGTTAAAATTGATTCATTTCTTTGCGTTTCTTAATGTATTGGAAATGTTTCTTTTAAAAAATAGAAACCAGATATTAAAACCATGTTTTAAATGGTGGAGTAATCAGTGATGTGAACAATTCCTCATTTTGACATTTAAAATCCATTAGCATGAGTTTACTTTGTCTTTTAGCTTGAGAGAGAAAAAGCATTTTAAGTAGTTTATCTTGGATTGATTTATCCATTAGTATCTGTGAACAGATATATGACTAAGCCCATCTTCCTTCTTCATTTAGTAAGCTCTAGTGAGAGGAGCCCTGGTGGCACAGGGTTAAGGTCTCAGCAGCCAGTCGAAAGGTGGGTGGTGGAAACCCATCCACAGCAATGGTCTTCTGTAAAGATTACCGTGCAGAAAACCCTCATGGGCAATTCTACTCAGTCAGGGATTTGCTGAGTCTGAATCTACTCGAGAACACCCAACATTAACCGATTCTTTTAGTCAAAGCATTGTTTTCCCTTTGTGGTTACTAATATACTAATAAAGGTAGAATGATCTTAAAACTTATAAATAGCCTAACTAGAACAAGAGAAAAGTTTAGAGTAGCACATCAAATTAGTTATTTCAACATACTTGTGGCCAACACGAGCAGTTATTCAGACTTTTTAAAGTGGGCTATTAAACTTCAATTTTAAAATGGTACAACCTTTTTTTTTTCTTTCCAGGCAGGGTATAGAAGGAGAAGCACTTTGGTGGGCACTGTGTACCAAAAATACTTGTGTAACTCAAATATTTTTTCAAACTAATTTCTTCAGAAATGTATTTTGGACCTTTCTGATGTATTTTGTTGTGTGAGGATAGATTTAATATTTTAAAAGTACACAAAGCCATTGGGACTAAGTCTGATGGAAGCGGGTATATCGGGAAGTATTGCTGCTGTGGTGCCTGCTTCTGTGTGGAAAGGTTTATTCCAAACAAAACCTGTTAGGACATTTCTGGGTGGTTAGGGGTGGCTGCAGACAAGTTCTCTCAGGAATACATGCTCTTAGCCTTGGAGAACTTACCTCATTGCCAGTGAGTTGACTCCGAATCACAACAAGCCTATCGTGTGGAGGAGGACTGCCTTTGGGTTTCCAAAGATCTTATAACATCTTTACAGGAGCAGATAGCTCCATCTCTCTTCCTGAGAGCAACTGGTGGATCAAAAAACCCATCATGTGGTTAGCAGTTCAGTGATTAGCCCACCACGTTCCCAGGGCTCCTTTCGTCTTGTCAAAGTACCTTAGAAGTACATGAAAGATTTCTTTAAAACCATGGCTTCGGAGGGAGGGGGTCTGGTGGATTAAATTCAAGGCAAAGAGGACCGCTTAGACAGTTAGGGGGACTATTGGAATTCCAAAGGGGGAGGATCGTGATTTTCTCGAAGGACAGAGATGATCATGGGTGCTTAATACAGAGAACTTGCAGAAAACGAGAGCAAAAGGCCAGCAAGGTTGCGCTGAGGAGTTTCTTTCCCTTCATGACCGTGCTGTGTTCATGCTTGGAGGGTGACCAAGGTGGTCCTGGGAGTATTCCATTGGGAAACCTTACCCAACACCTACCCTACAGCCCTGATCTTGCTCCTTAAGACATTTTTTGTTCCCCAAACTCAGACTCTTTAAAGGGAATACAATTGAGTTAAGGGTACCCAAACTGCCTTTTGACATAGCGTAAACTGGAGAATGCAGAATTCTTTAGAGTAGGATTAGAAATAGAAACTCTGGGTATGGGAAGTATAGAAGTACATAGATGGAGACTACATTGAGAAACAATAACTTTATATTTTGATATTTTTGTTTAAAAAGGTCTATAGGAATTTGTAGTAATACTTTGTGACCTTTCTTCCTATAAACTGTTTATTTTACAACCAGTTGCCATCAAGTCAGTTCTTACCTCTTCTGCTACTCTCTGTCTCTTGATTGGAGCATTTAATCCATTTACATTCAGTGCTATTATTGATAGGTATGGATTTATTTCTATCATTTTGCACTGTTTTTTTTTCTGTTGTTAGTTTGCTTTGGTAATGTTTTTGGTTTCTTTATTTTTCTGTGTTGAATTCATTTTGTTTCTGGGGTTTCATATCATATTTATCCTTGCTGTTATTTTACTATGAAGCCCCAGTGGTATAGTGGTTAAGCATTGGACTGTGATCCATATGGTTGACAGTTCAAAACCACCAAGACCTTTCTATTCTCGTAAACTGTTACAGTCTCCGAAACCCATAGGGGGTTGTTAATGACTTGATGGAAGTGAGTTTGGGTTTTTTTGGGTTGTTGTTATTTTACTGTTTACCAGATTTTTAAAAATTTGGGTGAGGCGTTTCCATTTTCTTAGAGGTTACCTTGTTATTTGTTATTTTCTTCCCGATAAAACTGTAAATCTTTGTGGAAGCAGACTACCACATCTTTCTCCTATGGGTCAGTTTGTGGGTTCAAATTGCTGACTTTTATGCCAGCAGCTAAGCATTTAAACCACATCATCGGGGCTACTCTTATCATTTACAGAATTTTAATATTTTTATTTAATCAATCCTAAATCTTTTATTATTTCTATTACTTGTATGAAATATATAAAGAATTTCTCCCAGTTCCACATGGACCATCAAGAGGAGCTGAGGTTAGCAAGCTACCACAAAATGTGTCTAACTCCTTTATTGTATTCTTTATCTTTCCTACCCTCTAGGACTTAAAAAAAAAATGCATAAAGACCTTCGTATAGGTTTATACTTTAGGCTTTTTATCATTTCATGGTTTACTTTCAAGTATTTAATCCATCTATAATATATTTTGTGGAGTCCTCGTGGCATAATGGTTATGAGTTGGTCTGTTAACCACAGGGCAGTAGTTTGAACCATCAGCCACTCTGGGAGAAAGACGAGCCCTTTGACGCCTGTGAAGAGCTGCTGTCTCAGCAACCCATCGGGGCAGTTCTGCCCTGTCCTATGGAGTTGCTTTCAGTCAGAATCCATTCTATGGCAGTGAGGATCATGTATTCTGATGTAAAATAATGAGATAGAGATCCAACTTTTTTTTTAATAGCAAAAAATAATTAAAAGTTGCCTCAGTATATTACTGCAACAATTCAATGTTCCCATTTGATTTGAAATATTACCTATATCCTATGCAAATTTTACCTATGAGTTAAAATGACATAACTTACAAAAGATTATCGAATGCAGCTAAGACAGTATTTAGGGGAATTTTTAGATATAAATCCTATTTTAATAGAAAAGAAAGATTGCAAATCAGTATGATGACCTTCCACTCAAGGCATTAGAAAAGATGTGCAAATTAAACTTGAAACAAATAGAATGAAGACAAAAGTGAATTATTGGGACAGAAATTATTGAAGGAAAAGCAGTAGAGAAACTGAAATGATAAAGTTGGTAAGCCTTTTCTGGTTTGGCTATGGGGAAAAAAAAGAAAAACTCAAATTGCTAAAGGAGGAATGACAGAGAAGATGTTACTATCATCCCTGCATGAATTAAGAGGACTGTAAGAAAATGTTGCAGACAATTGTATCTTAATAAATTAGATAACATGAAATGGACAAAAGAAAGGTGACACTATTGAAACCGACTCAAGAAAAGCAGAGTAGACTTGTAATTAATAATTGAATTAATGAAAAGACTACCCACAAAGAATATGGCTCAGTCCCAGATGACCTCACTGGTTAATTCTGTTGAATATTTAAAGATAAATCGATACCAATTCTTTGTACAGACATTCTTTAAAAATTTTAAAGGGAGAAGACATTTCCCAATTCAGATGCAGTTCAATCCTGTTTTGCATAAATTGACAAGCTGATCCTAAAATGTCTATACAAATGCAAGGGACCCAGAATATCCAATAAACGCTCAAAAAGGACTCATAGTGCCTCATTTCAAAACTTACTTCAAAGCTACCAAAAAGATAGGGTGGTGCCGGCTAAAGAATAGAAAGCTTTCTTAAGACAGGGAGAAAGCCAGTGAAGAGGTTCAAGCAGAAAAGTAGCATGGTTAGGTTTGTGCTTCCAAGGGCCCTGCTGGCTCTTATGTTGGCCACCATGAAAAGGAACCAAGAGTGAATGCTGAGACAGTAATTGGGAGACTTTAATCATTTCAGGTGATTTAATATTCGGATTGGAGTATGGCAATGGAATGAGTAGTGGGATGTTAAGAAAACAGTTAAAGTTGGAATTGATGGAACTTGGTAACAGATAAGAGGTTACTCAGGTTGCTGAAATTTGCAGTGGAATAAAAGTTGATACAGTCTATTTAGGAAGGGTGTATCCTTGTGCAGACCTAGTTTCCAATCAGAGAAAGCTTTTAAAAAAAATCATTTTATTGGAGGTTCATACAACTCATCACAATCCATACCTCCATCCATTGTGTGTCAAGCACATTTGTACATTTGTTTCCCTCATCATTCTCAAAACATTTGCTTTCTACTTGAGCCCTTGGTATCAGCTCCTCATTTTTTCCTCTCCCCCGCTCTCCCCTCCTTCTTGAACCCTTGATAATTTATAAATTATTATTATTTTGTCATGCCTTACATGGTCTGATGTCTCCCTTGGAGACGGCTTTCAATGTTGCCTTTTATTCACCTGTTTATGGTACTATATTGTGATGGGTATTTATTCCACCCTTTTCACAGAAAATAGAAGTTTAGAAGTACTTCAACTATTTAGCAAAAAGTCGTTTTAAAAGTCTAGCTGGTCATCTAAATGCATTCATTCCAACATTTTGAACCCATTGTATAAAAAGTTTTGTGTACACACACACACACACACACACACACACACGCAAAGGAAGGGTGTCTCAATTGCCACTGAGTCAATTCTGAGTCATCGTGATTACTGACAGGCTAGAATTGCCCGATCAGCTTTTCAAAGCTGTAGGTTTTTACGGAATCTGACTATAGGATCCTTCTCCCGTGGAATGGCAGGTGGGCTTAAACTGCCAGCCTTTGGGTTAGCAGCTGAGCACTTTACTCACTGCGCCACCAGGCATCACTTGATATCATTTACTCAGGAAATACTGGAGCAGGTCTAAGTCTTGGGAGGAAACGTAATTATTTTGGACATGCGGAATTTGACATACCTTGGAAATATCAAAATCAATTTGTTCAGTGGGCATTGCTTATAAGGAAGGGGTCTGAGTGAGAGTCATTAGAGAGTTTGTTCATTGAAACTAAAGGTGTGACGGGAGAGCAAACTGAGAGAGAGAGAATGGACCTCAACCAGGCCCACCAAGCACGGAGTAGGACACTCCTATTCTGAGTAGCCAAGGCACAGAGAGGACTGTAGGGTTGGTCCCACCACACGAGATACGATGTCCCCACACTGATCCACAGTTCTGCAGGGGACAGCACTGGAGATACAGTACGGGAATTGTGCCTGGTCTCACCCTCCCCCCCCCAACACACACACACACACACACACACGCACATGCACACGCACGCACGCACACACACACGCCCAGGGCGCAGCATGAAGGGAGTGCAACAGAGCAGCAAGGGGAGCAAAAATGAGGTCCCTGAGGAGTCCCAGAAATAGACTTAAGACTTGGGGGGCAGACTTGGCACCTCCTCAGACTCGATTGGGAAACATGAGTCAGCAGACAGACCTTGAACTATTTTTAGCCCCCCCCCCTTTAAATGTCTATCTACATAAGAGGCAAGATAAACCCAAGGAGAAAATGGACTGACAGTTCTGGGGGACAGGGGAGAGGGGGACGAGGTGGGGGAGGAGGGGGGAGCCAACAAACCCAGGGACCAGGCAACAACAAGAAATCAGGCATCATAACATGAGAACAAGTATATCGATGGGAACAAGGGGGTTTGGAGTGGAGACCCAAAGCCTATCTGTAGACAATACGACATCCCTTCACAGAAGGGTCACAAGGAAGGGACGAGTCAGCTAGGGTTTCGTATAGCACCTATCAAACACATAACATTCCTCTAGTTTTTTAGTACTTACTCCCCCCACTATCATGACCCCAGTTCTACCTTACAAATCCGGTTAGACCACAGCATGTACATTGGTACAGAAAAGAGCTCTGGCCAAACGGAATCCAGGACAGATAAATCCCTCAGGAACAATAATGGGAGTAGCAATACTATGAGGGTAGGGGGAAGGGTGGATGGAGAAGAGGGAGAAAGAGGGAACCAATTGCAAGGATCGATGTATTACTCCCCCACCCCAACCAGGGCATCAACAACAGAAACGTGGGTGAAGGGAGACTCAGATGGTGAAAGACATGAAAACAGTAATTTATAATTTATCAAGGGTGGGAAGTAGGGGTGTGGAGGGGGAAAAAAGTGGAGCTGATAACCCAGAGCTCAAATAGAAAGAAAATGTTTTGAAACGAATGATGCCAACATAAGTACAAATATGCTTGATACAATCGATGTATGGGTTGTTATAAGAGCTGTAAGAGCCCCTAATAAAATGGTTCACTTAAAAAAACTAAAGGCTTGAATGAGATTGTCTAGGGGGAGGTCCTCCCCCCCAAAAAAAATCATTCCAAACTCTGCCAGTTGCCATGGCAACCCCTGTCTTTCTAGGTGTTTCTGGGTGAGCTCAAACAGCCAGCTTTTCCGTTACTGGTCAAGTATTTAACCATTGGCACTCCCCAGGGATGTCCTAAGATGTAAACAAAGAAGGCCTAATATGGAGTCTTGAGGCTTGACATTTAATTATCCAGTGAATGAAGGAGTAGTAAAAGAGATTGATTTTTTAAAAAAGGATTGATAGCGATGAGAGATATAGAAAAGCACATAAGAGAAATTGCTCTCAAAGAAGTCAAGGAATGTGAGGAGAAAAGTGGTGAATGGAATGAGATACTGCTGTGGGAGCTCAAATGAGGTTAGAGGTGATAATAGGTATTGAATTTCATGACATGGCGGTCATTGGCTATTGGAGAGAGCATGATTTCTAATCATGGTGGCAGAAACCACATTCATGTACTTTATATTATTTTATGTAAACATAACTAAGGCTGAAAAATCCTTTTTGTCCATATGCTATGTTTATTGCCTGCATATGATTTTTCTCTAGTGAGTAAATTGATTCAAGCAATCTGATCCATTGAATGTTTAAATTTCAAAGAGTAGCACTGTCTATCTAACCTCCTTAGATTAAATTCCAAAATGTACTCATAATTTAGCTCAAAGGTAACACATTTAAAACTTCACATACTTCATTACCAAATTGTATTTCATTTAATGGGTTGTTCCTTAGAAAACTACTTTTTAAAGAGGATGTATGGAAAAGTGTGATAATTGATTCCAGACATCTGAATACACTTTACCTTTACTTTCTATCATTTTTAGCTTTTGCCTGTGATTTCTGAGCAACTACAATGGATGCCCTTTGTGAATGCCAAATATCATGAGCCTTTCGTAAAGTTTATATATTGGTCACTAAGGCAAATAGATGCTGGAACACAGGTAATTTAGAATAAATATCCATTTAAGAAGTTCTCTATTTAGTGTTGTTTTTAAGTCATTTTCTTACACATTCTGGCATTTTTTTATGTGGTCTCAGTATTCCAGAACCTCTACTTATGTCTCTTGTTTTTATTCACTGTCTATCTCTTCTCTCCTTGTATATGTTTTATTCCTCAATATTGTAGACGTGACTTTAATGTATAATGGTCCTTTAAGATAGTCATGGAAAAATTTCATTGTCTTTTAATTCTATTTTCCATGAACTTTTTGAAGCCTCTCATATAACATATTGAGTTTAGAATTTTATATAATTATATAACAGTACTTTTATTTCTGTATTAGATTAGTCTTAAAAATCCACAAATGACCAGTTGTTTTTTGATTTTTCATCTTTTGCTGAAGGTAATAGAAATTAAGGATGTCCGGTTTTGACAATTTGATAAGTCCTATCTAAATGAGACGTTGAATATTGGGTAACTCAATCTGCTTTAAAAAAATTGTTTCCAAATCTTTAGAAAAGTGTATAGTATATTTCACCTACTTCCCCAGAATTATTTCAATTAGAATGTACATTTCCTACAATTCACGTGCATGGATTGTAGGGAAAACCAGTAAACCGGTTGCTGACACGTGCATGGATTGTAGGGAAAACCAGTAAGCCGGTTGCTGAGAAGACACCTCTGAGCCATGTGTTTCAGAGGAAGACTGAGCTCTCCAGGCCGTTTCGGACTGTGACCTTTTGGAATTAGACCAACCAGACCTTTCTTCCAGTCTACTTCTGGGCATTGGTGTGCAGCTAACTCTTCAGTTAGTAGTCACATGCTTAGACATTTACATCACCAAGAGACTTCCCTAATTGTAGTAGGTAGTAAAGTTTTATTTCCCCAGTTAGGATTGATAAAACTCTGATTAAAAGAATGAGAAAAACAGTTTTATCTTTATAGTTTAATCTAGGACCCATGGAACACAGGAAGCAAACATACCAGTTACTTTCTTCTTTTTCACCATGTGTTTGATATATATCAAGCTATTTATATAATTGTTTCTGCCCCAAATGATGTCCTAGGCATTAGTGAGCTGCAGTGAGCTGTGTCGACTGTCCCCTGGTTTACCAGACAAACTGCAGAGGAGCGGCACTGCATCCATCTCCAAAGAGAACATGTCAGGATCTGTCTTGGAGTACAGTTCTTTCAGGAATAAAATAATACCCATTTGCTTACAAGGAAGATCAGTTAGTTAATTATGACTATTGTTCATATTTACGGACCCAACCACTAACTCCAATGATGAAGAAGTTACAGAATTCTACCAACTTGAGCAGTCTAAAATGGATTAAACATGTAATCACAATGCATTGATAATTACTAGTGATTGGAGGAATAGGAACATTGGAAATAAAGAGAAAGGATTGGTAGTTGGAAAATATTGCCTTGGTAATAGAAATGAAGCAGGAGATCACAAAAGGCCATTAAAAAGAAAGGAAGGGGGCGGGGCTTAAAAAAAAAAAAAGAACAGACCAAAGTGGCTGTCAGAAGATACTGTGAAACCTGTTCTTGAAGGCAGAGAAGCTAAAGTAAGTGGAAGAAATGATCAATTACAAGGGCTGAACAGATGATTTCAAAGATTATAAATATTGTAATGAAAAATGATTTTTTAAAAAACCCAAAAATATTTTAATGAAATGTGCAGAGACCTGGAGATAAAAAACATTTCGGACATTGAAAGAGCAGGATAAAACTCAAGCCCCAAGTTACAATACTGAAAGTTTTTATGGACAAAATTAACAACTGGTGATATGCAGATGATACAACCCTGCTTGCTGAAAGTGAGGAGAGTTGGAAGCACTTGGTGAAGATCAAGGATTACAGCCTTCAATATGGACTACTATATTCCTTACTCGATGTAAAGAAAACCAAATATCTCACAACTGGACCAATTGTTATTATGATAAATGGAGAAAAGACTGAAGCTGTCAGGGTTTCATCTTGCTTGGATCCACAATCAATACTCGTGGAAGCAGCAGTCAAGAGAACCAGCGATTCATTGCATTGGGTAAATATTTGCACAGACCTTTTTAAAGTGTGGAAGAGCCGAGGTGTCACTTTGAGGGCTAAGGTGCAGCTGACTCAAACCGTGGTATTTTCATTCACCTCATAGGCATGTGAAAGTTGGACATCAAAGAAAGAAGACCAAGAAAAATGAATGTATTTGAATTACAGTGCTGGCAAAGATGTTGGTGAAAGTATTTGGACTGCCAGAAGAACAAAGAAGTCTGTCTTGAAAGAAGTACAGCCAGAATGCTCCTTTGAATCAGGGAGGTAAGACTTCCAGCTTACCTATTTCCAGGCGAGACTGGGTCCTGGAAAAGGACATCAGGCTTGGTAAAGTAGAAGGGCAGTGAAAAGCGGAAGGCCTTCAAGGAGATTAGAGGGACACAGTGGCTGCAACAATGGGATCAAAGATAACAGCAACTGTGAGGATGATGCAGGACCAGACAGTGTTTTGCTCTGCTGTGCATAGGGTCACCATGAGTCGCACTGTCTTGATGGCACCTAAGAGCCTGGGTAAGATAATGAACAATGCAAGAAGTATTAAAAGAAATTGTAAGGAATACACAGAGTCACTGTATCAAAAGGAATTACTTGACATTCAACCATTTCAAGTGGCAGCATATACTCAAGAACCCATGACACTGAAGGAAGGTGTCTTAAGATATACTGAAAGCATTGGTGAAAAATGAGGCTCCACCCTCCTGGAGGTCACCCTCTTGACTGTGTTAGATGCTTTTCCGATTTTTGGTATATGAAACTCAGGACTGCTGAAGCTACAGGGACAGCCAGTATAATACGGGGTTCAGGGGGAGGAGGTGTACAGAGGTGTGGTGGTAGGGTAAAAGGAAGATGATGTCAAGGAGTCTAGAAAAAGAATGTTTTGTAGCAATTGTACAATTCAACTTTGTGTGATTGAAACATGGAATGCTATGATATATGTATTAAATCCCAACTAATAATAATAGAAAAGCGAGGCTCCAGGAATTGACGGAATACCAGTTGAAATGTTTCAGTAGCTGTTGAAGCACTGGAAACCCTCACTCATCGATGAAAACTTTGGAAACAACTACCTGGCTAACCAATTGGAAACGATCCATGTTTGTGCCCATTTCAAGCAGAGGTGACCGAACAGATGTGGAAATTCTTATACAATATCATTAACATCATGTGCAAGTAAAATTTTACTGGAAATAATTTTAAAAGAGTTGCTGCAGCACATTAAAAGAGAAATGCCAGGAATCCCAGCTGGATTCAAAAGAGGACGTGGAATGCGGACTAGCATTGCCGACATCGTGTGGCCCATGACTGAAAGCCGAGACTACTCGAAAGATGTTTGCGTGGTTTCATTGACTGAAGCTGTCAGGCATTGGACGGCGCTAACCGCAGCGATCTGAAAAGCTGACTGATGTCCCACTCACTTGTGACATTCACCATCCCCGCAGTTGTGCCATGCACAATCAGGTCACACCTTCTCAGTCAGTGACTGAAGTGTTGAACTGTGGGAGCTATTAAGTATGTCTCAAAAAACCTGTTTTGTAAAAATTGGAATCAGTCACAAAATCTTCCGTTTTAAACGCAGAAATTAAAAAAACGAATCCTCATCTACATTTTAGGAGCAATGCAGATTTGGGAGTCAATTGGTCATCAGTACCTAGGAAGATGAGATTATAAAACTTAGTCTCAGAGTGGGAGATTTGTGTTATGTTAAGGGACATTTTATCCTAATTTTTAATTTGTTTTCAGTTTTTTATCTGTACCTGTTCCACGCAGCCCCCTCCTTTAACTTTAAATTTTTCATGGTCGTTGAGAATACACACAGCAGAACATACACAGTTCCACAGTTCCTATGTGTTCCGTTCAGTAAAATCGATTATATACCCCAGGCATCCTCAGACTGCGGCCCGCCGAGGACATTTATCGAGCCCGCCCGGTATTTTTTGCCCCGTTTGTTTTTTTACTTCAAAATAAGATACGTGCAGTGTGCATAGCAATTTGTTCATAGTTTTTTAAAAAAACTATAATCCGGCCCTCCAACGGGTCTGAGGGACAGTGAACTGACCCCCTGTTTAAGAAGTTTGAGGACCCTTGATATATACTCTTCCATTTGTGCACCTGCGCTCACCTTCCTGACATCAGAATTGCTTCTCCCCATGCCCATAAACACATTGCCCTTTCAGTCTCCTAGCTAATCTCTTAGGTTCCTGCTCTCACTTTGATCCCATATTGATAGATCTTAACAGAGCACAATATTCAAAGCAGATATTCTTTACCTATTAAACTGTTATTTGGTGTAGAGAAAACGTATTGTGATTATTTTTGGTTTAAGGTTAAAGATTATCCCAGAGCAGTATTTTCAGGAATTCATCCAGTTTCCATGGTTCCAAAAATCTAGATTCCATGAGAGCTGGGAATCTGTTTTTCATTTCTCCTCTTTTGATTAATATTCTATCATGTCGTTTATTGAAATGTTCAGGGAACATTTCCAGGCACTATCCAGTTTTCCGGTCTCATGACAAAATAGACAGTCATTCCTAGAGGCAATTGGCCACATATTCCATATTTGATTCCTGACTCTCATTCTTGTTCCTTGTGAATAGATACGAAATATCGTATTTTGAATAACTGCTTACAAGCAAGTAAGGCCGTAAGCACTGTGCAACCAAACTATCATGTAGAGCAGAGGTGCTAAGCATGGTGTTCCTATTTTGGATTTTTGGATAATCCTATTTTGGATTACAACACTTCAGACTTGTTTATATGCCATTACTCTTTTTTCCCCTCTGCACTCATAGATTCTAAATGAGAATTATTCTTGGTGTAACCAAATATTTTATTCTTTTGAAAGTGTCAAATCCTCCAAATATTACTGCAGTGTGTGACATTTGTAGTCATACTGAGGTATAAGGCAGTGAGGCTGCAGATGATCATCGCATAAGGGAACACAGTAAGGTACACTTGGTAAACCAGTGATTGCTAATGATCAGGGATAAAGAAGCTGTGGGGTGGACTGCCTGCCTCTCCTTCATGGATATTTCTCTGTGCCTCCTAATTATAGACTCTGCTCTTAAAACTTTTGAAATTGAGTCTTCAATAAATTATTCTAATTTTATTCTTAGAAAATTACTGTTTTTATTTCTTGATGAGGCTTTCTACTCCCATAAACAGTTAGTCTCAGAAACCCACAGGGGCGGTTTTACTCTATCCTATGGGGTTGCTATGAGTCAGAACTGACTGGATGGCAGTGAGCTTTCTTTTAAATCTTTACAGAAGGAACTGCCCTTGTGGGTTTCCAAGAATGCAACTTTGTATGGGAATAGCAAGCCCCATCTTTCCCTGAATGAGCAGCTGAGGGCTTCTAACTGCCGACCTTGTGGTTAGCAGCTCACCATGTAACCCACAGTCTAGGGAATGCCGTGAGGCAATTTGTACTGTCAGATGGCATTGCTGTGAGAAAAAAGTCAACTCAAGGGACCTCCAACAACAGCAAAATACCTACTTTCAAAAAGCTTGGTGTTAAAATTGTTACTTTCCACGGATCTCCATATAACCTCCTCCCCGGGAGACAGACAACCGAAAAGTGGGTAAGATATGACAAAATAATAATAGTTTATAAATTATCAAGGGCTCATAGGGAGGGGGGAGCGGAGAGAGAGGGGGGAAAATGAGTAGCTGATACCAAGGGCTCAAGTAGAAAGCAAATGTTTTGAGAATGATGATGGCAACAAATGTACAAATGTGCTTGACACAGTGGATGAATGGATGGGTTGTTAAGAGTTGTATGAGCCCTCAATAAAATGATTTTTTAAAAAAAATTATTTTACAATCTTTCCTATTTTAACTCTGCGTTAAAGTAAGAAAAAAGAGTTAAACTTATTTTTCACACAAATATTTGGAGCATTCAAAATATACTAAAGTTACTGATTGGGTTTTTCTTCTTAACAGTTTTATTGGCACTTCGTACAATTTAATAGTTCATCTATATCAAGAACCTCTTCATTTTCTGAACATGAATAAGTATGTTATGATATTTTCTTATTTTTGACAGCATTCCACGCTGACATCAACCTTGAGAAGGCTGGGTGAAGACATATTCAGAGGAGTCATAACTAAGGGAACACAGGAGAATTCTGTTGAGCATGCGGTCGAGAATAAACCAAAGACAGCCGCTTTCTTTAAGAGCTCCAGTTTACCACTGAGATTTTTATCGACCTTAATTGTTCTGAAAACAGTAACTCAAGGTAGGTTTTCAAAGGTATTTGAGCAATTTATTTGATCAATTATTTTTGTCTTTTACTTATTTATTTTTAGAATCATTTTATTGGGGGCTCATACAAACCTTATCACATAACCTCCTCCCCGGGGGACAGACAACCGAAAAGTGGGTAAAAGGAGTGGGTAAGATATGACAAAATAATAATAGTTTATAAATTATCAAGGGCTCATAAGGGAGGGGGGAGCACATTTGTACATTCGTTGCCCTCATCATTCTCAAAACATTTGCTCTCCACTTAAGCCCCTGGCATCAGCTCCTTATTTCTCCCCCTCCCTCATGTACCCTTGATAATTTATAAATTATTATTTTGTCATATCTTACACTGTCCAATGTCTCCCTTTACCCACTTTTCTGTTGTCCATCCCCCAGGGAGATCCCTGTAATCGGTTCCCCCTTTCTACTCACCCTCCTGGTATCGCCACTCTCAGCACTTGTCCTGAAGGGATCATCTGTCCTGGATTCCCTGTGGTTCCAGTTT